CCCACCACACCAGCCACGTTAGGCCTGCCGCCTCGCAACGGTGGCGGCCTGGCGGTGTGGCTGGTTGAGTGTGGCTGTGTAGCTGGTGTGGCGGGGGTGGTGGCGGCCTGTGTGGCGGTAGGCCTGTGGGGCTGGTGTGGCTGGTGTGGCTGGGGGTTTGTGTGGCTGGTGGGGCTGGTGTGCTGTGGCTGGTGTGGCTGGCGGGGTGTGTTTTGCGATATTCTGCGGCAAGGACCGGTTCGATCGGTTCGGTACGTGGCCAAGCAATCAGCGATACAATCGGTTCGGTTTGCGATACACTGCGGTTTGCGATAAAAGTTTGGTTGAAACAGCCATGACTTCCGAGAACTGAGCAATTCTGCAAAGTGATAAACCTAAAGTGTACTATGGTATATAGTAGATTGTAGCTTGTCATGGGATGCTATAGTATATTCCAAGGTATACCTTTTCAAAAAAGCCTGCAACGCATACCTTCAAATTCGTGTTTGCCCCGCTTCTCAGTACCCGAACATCTGTTCTGTTCCTTAGCGTTTTGGATCCTCCAAAGGAAAAGCGCCCGAAACTTTCGCAGCCAGTCAGGTTGAAGCTTTGCTGCAGCTCCCGATGGACCCGGATGTTGTCATTGTTCCACTTGTTGCTGATGCCACCACACCGCTGATGCGAGCCTCTGAGTACGGCCACGTGCATGTAGCAGAGTTGCTCCTGGAAGCCGGCGCTCGAAAGGAGTTGCGCGACAGTGGGGGCAGTACAGCACTGATGCTTGCGGCGCAAAAGTCTCGTGCTGAACTCGTCGTCCAGCTGCTGCTGGAGGCAGGTGCTCGAAAGGATGCTCATGATGACGATCATAGCACAGCGCTCATGTATGCAGCTTTCAACGGTCGTGCTCCAGCCGCGCGGTTGCTCCTTGAGGCGGGCGCTCAGAAGGATCTGCGTGACAGAGATGGCCGCACAGCGCTGATGGATGCAGCAAGGGGAGGTCATGCTCCAGTCGTGGAGTTGCTCCTGGAAGCCCGTGCGGAGCAGGATGTGCGCGACAACGACGGCATGACCGCGCAGATGCTGGCGGTGGACGCCGGTCATCGTCAAGTCGCGCAGCTGCTGGGATTTTCTTACAAGAGGAGGCCATCCTCAAGTCCTACAGCTGCTCCGCAAAAGGCTGTGCCCCGACCCACGGGTTTGGGATTTAATAAGCAATGTGAACCTTTCGTTCCCTAGGATTCAGGGCAAGTAATTCAGCAGCAGAGAACCCGTGTGAGAACCCACTATAGAAAGCTGATAGCAATGCGTATAGAACGCTTACAGTATCCCCTATCGAACCCTCGAGCCTGATAGTAACTCTCATATTACAGCACAGAACCCGTATAGTCACCTTAAAGGAACCCTTATAGAAACTTATAGCTTGACAGCAGAAGCAGAGAAGTAAATGAGCCCTAGAAGCAGGCTTTTAGGTTTCAGGGTCTAATTGGGGGAAATAGGGTGGTTCAGGCTTTCGGTCTAAGGGTTTAGGGATTGCCTGGACCCCAAGTAACCTACCCTTTAAAGGGCTAATGCAAAGAGATCAGAAAAGGAAGGTTTATTCGGGTCCATGTTCAAGTAGGGATTACATAGGGTTCTGGGTTTAATTCGGGTTCGGGGTTGCATTAGGGTTCAAAGCGCAGGGTTGGGGTTGAAGGTATTGCATGTCAGGCAGCCTTTCGTCGTGGTCTCGAAGTGTAGCGGGTACCTGCAAATAGGGCTGTGCGACTCCAAGGCTCTACGAAGGAATGAAGCTCCTGACTCAGGCTAGCGGCTAGCTACACCTTAACCCTCAACCCGTCAACCCGCACTGCTTCAACCTGCCAAACCTTTACTTCTCGAAATCTTTGGGGTATCTGGGCAAAGAGGAAATCGCTTGTCACCCTGGAACTACATGGGCAAACGCCTAATCTAGGGGCCTTCATAATTACCTATGTTATTTTGGGGGGTTCCATGTTTTAACTATCGTAGAACATGCCCCTTCTTACCGTGTTCTAATTATTAAGGCCTCTATAGTACGGCTGTTGCACTTCAGGGTCCAGGCTTGAGTGCGTGTTAAGCCGTGACTGTCACAAGCCGATGGCAACCAAAGCCAACGCAAGCCCGAATATAGAAGTCGGAAGAACTAAAGCATTCCTGCAGGTTCCTTAATGATAGTTATAATTGGAGGTTCATGGGTAGTTATATGTAGGGTTATAAGTCCCTTCATGTGGGTTCTATCTATAGTTACCCCAAAACAAACCCTGGATCCCCCCCCGTCGAACCCGTCATTGCTTTCTTGGAGGTTCATGGGTAGCTATAAGTCCCTAAACCCTAAACCCTAAACCCCTAAATCCTAAATCATCAGCCGTAGTGATTACTAAGCCCCCTCCCATTGCAGTCTGGCCGTCGGTTCAGATTCAGCTTGTGGATCGACTAGGTTCCCCAGTAGTACCCTTTTGCCCTTTTTTTTGGGGTCCCTTATTAAACCCAAAGAGTAGGAAAAAGGGTGCCCTTATTGTTAGGGGTCTACTGGGGAACCTAGTTGAGGGGGCCATTTGGTGATGCTATTCGTTTTTAGGTAGGGTTTAGGGCTTTAGGTTTAGGGTGTAGGGTCTAGGGTTCAGGGCTTTGGGTTTGGGTCTAAGGGTGTAGCACTTCGTGTAGTACTATGCCCTAAAGTTCCCTCCCAGAGACTCCAAAACCCCTTAATTCAGGAATATACCTTAAATCTTATTAGGGTTCCTATTAAAACATTAAGGCATATTCCTTAATTAAGGGATTTTGGAGTCTCCCGGGTTAGGTTAGCAGTAAAGTGTCAGTATTATCTACCCCAAGACCCTCGTGAAAATTACCGAAAGCCCGAAACCCTCGTCACACTACCTAGCTTCTCCATAATATGGCAAAAAAGGGCTTACTTCCTGTAGTCCCTTATAGCACTACTCTGTCAAAGTTTGCCGTCGTCGTATAGTACCCTTGGCAATTAAACTTCGGGGCTGTGTATACTTGCTGGATCAGGAAACATCGTACGCAGGTAGTAAGCGGAGTTTGCAGTAGACCAACCCCTCAATCAAAACCTTATTCTAAGTATTAAAGCCCTTAAAAACCCTAAACCCTAAACCCCTAAACGCCCTAAACCTTACAGTAGGGTCATAAGGAGCATCTTGGCGGGTCTAAGTTCAATTTTCTTTCCGGGTCGGATATGGGGCTGGGGAGTCGCCACGGATGAAGATCTAGGCATTCCAACATCAGGGTCTCTTTTAAGGCTTAGGGTTTAGCGTGGAAGGTACCCGATTGGGGTTTAGGCTTGCACTAGGGTACATGGTTGCACGATGTTATGTGATTAAGTTGATGGTGTCCATTTCGCACAGTGCCGTGGGATGAGCGCGTGAGTTTGGAGGGTGAGTGTTTCAACATAAACCTACTTAAAGAAGGACCAAAAGGCAACATTATGTTTACATATTCGGACGCTTTGTGTCTAACCCTAACGAGGGTTCAGGGCACGCCGTGCAGGGCTTGGAAATCCCTGGACTGAGAACGACCGATGAATTTGGCTGACCTAGGCTGCTCAGTAGCATACTGGTGTTCTTTTTGGGTTCCTGGGTTCCTAGTAAATAACAATTAACCCAAAGAAGTATATACTTTTTTCAGGGGGTCGTAAACCCTAAACCCTAAACCCTATCACTGAAGAGCCTAGTGACCTTTTGCAGCTCTCCTTGCTTGTTGCATGGTGTTTCGACTCTCCTCCCAAGAACCCTGATCTCCCCTTCCCCCAGAGGGCCCACTACCCGTTAATTAAGGACTATACCTTAAACTATAAGGGGCTTCATATTCTGATTTTAAGGCTATATTCCTTAGTTTAGGGGGTTATTGGGCTCCCCACTTCTTCATTTGTAGATCGCGGGACGAAGCCCACAAGCCAAAGTACTCATCGCGCAGCTGCGCAACACCCCCAGCTCGGCCAGCAATGCTGCACATCACACTGCTCTCAGGGGAAGACTTGGCTGCCTTTCCTTTTTCGGAGCTGAGTGATGTGAAGGCCTTGAAGCAGCGATTGCACGAGCAGCACGGCCTGCCGGCCCGCTTCAGGCAAAGACTCTTTCACGAGGAGAACGCTTTGGATGATGCCGTCACATTGGCTTCCGTGATGGAGTCGCAGGCAGTTCACGAGGACACAACTTTGAGCGACGCTGTCAAGCCGGATGCTGTGATGCATCTGCAGGTGTTGGTCTTGGAGTTCTCTGACGCTTCTCACGTCCAACGGTCAGAGCTCAGTAACGCGGCCGAAAATGATATGGTGGACGAGGCAAGGCAATTTTAGCACTGACAAGAGGCCACGCAATGAGACGTCGTGAAAGCCTGTACCATATGCAACTCCATGCGTGCTCAAAACCCAACCTAGATACTCGCAAGGAAGGGTCCCCCATATTTTTTGGAACAGTCAGGTTGAATCTCTGCTGCAGTTGCCCATGGACCCGGATGCTGTGACCGGCGAGCCTAACCACACGCCTCTGATGGTGGCATCTGGGAATGGCCACGTTCGTGTCGTCCGGCTGCTACTGGAGGCCGGTGCCCAGAAGGAGGCTGTTGCTGCTGACGGCAGCACACCGCTGATGTGGGCAGCACTTGAGGGTCGTGATTCAGTCGTCCGCTTGCTCCTTGAGGCCGGTGCTGAGATGGACGTCCGCGACCAGGGCGGTTGGACAGCACCTTGGAAGGGAGATCTTAATTTTTTTTGGCCATGCATGTATGTATATATATATATGTATATATATATGTATAAATGAAATGTATGCATGTATGTATGTATGTATGTATGTATGTATGAGTGTATGAGTGTGTATGTGTATATATGTATATAGGTATATGTATATACAATATGTGTATTTATAAATATATGTCTATTTATTTTTTGCTTATTTGTCTATTTACTTATGTATTATTGTATGTGGTCTGTCGTATTAGAAGGGTTGAACTTGTTCGGGCTCGGCTATTGACGAAGAGAGGCGCTCATGTGTTCTGCGAGCGAAAGACACCCCCAAGTTCTGCGGTTGCTCCTCGAGGCCGGTGCCGACAAGAATGTGTGTGATAGATTCGGGCAGACAGCGCTGATGCTGGCAGAGGAAGCAGAGGAAGCCGACGATGAAATCCTCCGACTTTTGGAACCCGTCGCAGAGGATGACGACGGAGAGCTTTCGGAAGCATGAATCCAAGATCTTTGGGTCCGAGCCCGAAAAGCCGTCAGTTCAGGCTGTGAAGCTTATAAGTAGAGTAGGTACCCTTTAGCCTCTTTGGGGTACTACAACCCCTACATAATCCCAAAGCTTAACCAAGTAAGGTGACAGGGTAAGGGGCCTCTTGATGCAAAGGTCAAAGCCTAAGCCCTTGGACACTTCACCTCCGAACCCTGAAACCAAACCCCCAAACTTCCACATTACCCTAAACCCAAAATCCCCCCAAAAACTCAAAAAAAGAACCCTAAACCCCCCAAAACCCTAGATCCCTCATCCCACCCATAAACCCTAAACCCCCTAAAAACAAAACAAAGCCTCAAACCTGATGTCTTCCGGGGCACTCCTCTGCCCGGACAGACCCCAAAGCCCTAAACCCTAAACCCGTGACCGGGCCATCATCTTCAAACCCTTCAATAGCTATCAGACCCGAAACCCTAAACCTTCTTAGTAGCTGAATTACTACACTTTAAAGTTTTTGGTATAATATGATCCCTGATAAAACTGAAAGTGTACACTTTTTTTGGCCTATGAAGCTAAGATAGACACTGCCCCCACTCAGGAACAGTTGAGTAATATTCACAATATGGATATAATATAGAAGGCCCTTAATAGTAGCCTTGGTATAGACTGTTACCGTATGGGGGAGCAGTACCCAACCTTAACCCTAAACGCTAAAACCTAAACTGGGTTCTTGTTAAAGGATTTTCTAAGTTACCATAATAGGAATCTATAGTAAGTCATATGGTTTCTTTATTGTGGTAACTTAAATTAAACCCACCAACAAGAGCCCAGCAAGCCCGAAACCTTAAACCCTAAACCCGAAGCCTTAAACCCTAAACCCTAACCCGAAATGCAAATGCCCAAACGTGTCGACTCCCAGTGAAACCGGAGAGGGTTCGAGGTCTTAGGGTTTAGGGCTTAGGGTTTAGGGTGCCTTCTTGCGCAGTGGCCGATGGTCCATGCTAAGCTGGCGCCACCTCACACCCGGGTTTGTGGGTGGCGGTGTATGTCGCGTGAAGCGGCTTCTTGTGTGCTTTGTAATAGAACTCGGTGAAGCCGGAAGTTCTTTTCACCCGCCTGCTGTGATGACACCACAGGCAACCACCCAAACCAGTCCCTGTTAGGGTTTTAGGGCTTACGCCCTCAACTCCCACGCCGTGTTAGAGGAGTTTCCGATGGCGCAAAGGGCAGGGCAGGGCAGGCCAGGAATCTGCGTGGTTGGGGGGCGGGACCCCCCCTGGCTGCGGGTGGCCGGCGGCGAGGCGGAGCCCTTGGCAGCCCAGATAGGGCTTTATTTGGCCATTCTTCGTACACTGCACCCATTGTTTAGCGTAAAGGCGGCCGCGCACATTCAGTGTCTGAGCAATTTTAAGGGTTTAGGGTTTAGGATTTAGGCGTGTAGGGTTCAGGATTTAGTAGTAAAGGTTCCAGACTTAGACCCCTAAACCCTAGACCTTAAACCCTATCAAAGCAAGTACTATTCCGTAGGGTTCCTTAGACAACTCTCCGAGATTCGGTGGTGTCATTCCTGAAATATTCCCCCTCGGTTGCCTAATCAGTTGGAATATGGCTCTAGGGTTTAGGGAAGGTTTAGGCTTGAGGGCGTTTTCTAGGCGCCTATACGGATTAGTGACTCTTGGGCATGACTCCAGTATGATTTTGCGCTTTACGTAGCTTGCTAAGCTTGGATTGGGTCCACCACACATGATCTCCGACAACATTATGTACTCACAGCGTAGCACCACATATGCACGTACTTCGGCAACCAGGGTGTGCGTTCTTTCTGAGTTGGGAGACTCACTATGTATCTTCGGTAGTATTGGGGAGACCCCTTAAAGGGGACCCTTCCCTATTTATGGCTCTCTTAAAGGGGACCTTATTGAGAGGGTTTTTATCCCCAAGGGTCCCCCCAATCCAAGCTCCTGAGTATGTTTTCGAGAAAAGGTTGCAAGTAGGAAGCTCAACCCCGATGAGAGGCCTTTTGGTGTTTAGGGTTTAAGGCTTTAAGGTTTTAGGGTTTCAGGCTTTAGGGTTTAAGGTTTTGGTGTTGCAATGTTGGCAAGTCTATGCTTTCCGGTTCATACTTGCTTAAAGTAAACCACTCAACCGTTCACCTTTAAGACACAACACCCTAAACCCTAAACCGAAAGGCCCTAACCTCAATAAAAGGGGCCTGAATACTTGCCAATACTATTTTGGAGTTCCTGATTGTCAGTTTAGTTTAGTATAAGATACCCCAAAGCCCTATTCCAATTATCAAGGCCCCCGCACTAAACACTCAAGTTGGAACTGCATTTGAATCTGGGGCTCGAGATTTGTCAGTTGATCCTTGGGGCAAATCTCGTTTCCTTTCTTCGCGTCGTACAAAGCCCGCACACCAGGACCAGGGTTAGGAGGCTCAGGGTTCAGATTTTAGGGTTTGGGGCTTTATAGTTTTCAGGGTTAGGGTTTAGGGTTCAGATTTTAGGGTTTGGGTTTTTTATAAGGGCTGAGGGTTTTAATTTTAGGGTCGAGGGTTGAGTGATTCGTTTCTTGCGCCTCGGCCAGCAATGCTGCACATCACACTGCTCTCAGGGGAAGACTTGGCTGCCTTTCCTTTTTCGGAGCTGAGTGATGTGAAGGCCTTGAAGCAGCGATTGCACGAGCAGCACGGCCTGCCGCCACGCTTCAGGCAAAGACTCTTTCACGAGGAGAACGCTTTGGATGATGCCGTCATGTTGGCTTCCGTGATGGAGTCGCAGGCAGTTCACGAGGACACGACTTTGAGTGACGCTGTCAAGCCGGACGCCGTGATGCATCTGCAGGCGTTGGTCTTGGAGTTCTCCGACGCTTCTCACGCCCAGCGGATAGAGCTGGATGATGCGGCTAGGTGTGGCCTTCTACATGAGGCAGGGCAGTAGTACTTACAGACAACCGGCCGCTCTTTCACTTGGCACAACAACTCAAACGAAACCCTAACTTGCATGTAATTACACACTTAAAAGAGGAATGGCTCCTAATGCTCTCTGAAGTGCTTAGGTTGAAGCTCTGCTACAGCTGCCCATGGACCCCGATGCTGTGCTCAACGAATATGGCCACACGCCTCTGATGCAGGCATCTGGGAATGGCCACGTTGAGATCGTGCGGCTGCTCCTGGAGGCCGGTGCCCAGATGGATGCTCTTGACTGCGACGGCACTACAGCGCTGCTGGGCTCTTGTTAAAGGATTTTTTTACTTGAGTTACCATAATAGGGGATCTACAGTAAATAATATGGTTTCTTTATTATGGTGACTTAAATTAAATCCCCTAACAAGAACCCAGGCTGATATGGGCAGCGCATGACGGTCGTGATTCCGTCGTGGAGGTGCTCCTTGAGGCCGGTGTTCAGAAGGATATTCGTGAGAATATCGGCTGGACAGCGCTGATGTGTGCGGCGACCAACAGCCATGCTCGAATCGCAACTTCGCAGTAGAGTCGGCAACCTTTAACTTCTTCGGGAAATTTCTCGAACCCCTTACGTCTTCCTTCAATTCCCCTAGGATACTAGGCAAGTAAGGTGCAACCCAAACTAGCCCAAAAACAAGCATATAGAACCGACATTCTAGCATCCACTCCACAAAACCTATAGAACCGACGTTCTAGCATCCACTCTAAAGCCCTAAAGCTGAAAGTCCAAAGGGGCTGAGTAGGTAACCTCGGAACCTGTTGGGGCTTACATAATCCTACTGTATTAGGGTTTAGGGGTTTAGGTTTGAGGGCTTAGGGGTTTAAGGGTTTAGGGTTTAGGGTTGACTATACTTCAAAAGGTTAACCCTTTTCTTGGAGCTAAGGCACTCACCCCAAGCCCTAAACGCAGGCCCTAAGTTCCCGAATTCTGATACCACCGCAAGTAAGTCCTAAACCCTAAAGCCTAAACCCTAAACCCTAAATCCTAAACCCTAAACCCCAAAAACCTTAAACCTAAGTTAGGGCCTAGGTTCCCTAATTTTCATACCTGACAAGTAAGGTAAGGCTGCTTCTCGAGGCGGGGGCTCGCCGGGATCTCTGCAGCAACAACGGCAACGGGCTTGCTTCAGAGAGAGACTCCGAAACCCCATTAAATTCAGGAATAAAAACCTTAAAGTATAGTATAGTAGGAACCCCAAAAAGTATAGTATAGTAGGAACCCCAAAAAGTATGGTATAGTAGGAACCCCAAAATGATGTAAGGTATATTAGGGAACGTATACACCCTTAAATTGTAATAGGAACCCAAGGGCCTTAGGGCTTGGGTCCCAGAGGCTCCAAAAGCCCTTAACTAAGGAATATATACCTTACATCTTAGTAGGGGTTCCTTTAAAGGGGTCTATATGGGTTCTAGAAGGGAGTTATAAGGAATATGCCTTATAATATACACCTTAAAATTATGAATCGGAGCCCTCATAAGATTTATGGCATATTCCTTAATTCAGGGGTTTTGCAGTCTCTGGGCAGTGAGCTCCAAACGGTTTAGGGTTTAGACAGTATCCGGTAGAAACCTGGTCCTGGTACCTTCATTATGGTAGATGGGCAGTTCTCTAAATAGTTGTCCCTGGTTAAACGAACCCAAAAGGGGACCGAATTTAGAGAAGCACCCCTGTCATAGCTTACTCTTGTTCATTACAGTCTAGCGTACCTTTTCCCGGTGTTCTGGTCTTAGGTTTGGGGTTTGGGGCTCCTGAACCTTAAACCCTACCGGGACCCCAAAGAACCCACCTTTTTTTAGGGTTCCGTAATATTTGGGGGGTAAAAAAATAAACCCTGAACTTCCATTTTAAGGGCTCCTGCGAAGAGTTCTCTAAGGGCTTGGGTCTCTCAGCGGGCTCTTTTTTTTCACTTTTCTGGCCTCAGGCTGCTCGTGAAACGACTATAGGGGCCTAAAGAATTGCCACTGCTAGTTCGGGGGGCTCCTTATTAGAACTATAGGAAAGCATGCCCCAAAACCCTAGTCTAATTATCAAGGCCCCTACAGTAGC